GGCTTCTTACTGTGGTCCTCATGGTGGTGCAGGGAGCCATCTCTCCATTCCCTCAAATTTCTTAGTTAATCATCCAGATAATTTTTACCTACACATAGCTATTCTTCATTATTAATAATATTTTGCTAGCTTTGTTTTGTTTTGGTTTTTCGAGTCTGGTCTGTGTAGCTTTGGAGCCTGTCCTGGAACTCACTCTGTAGCCCAGGCTAGCCTCGAACTCACAGAGATCCATCCCCCTGGCTCTGCCTCTCGAGTGCTGGGATTAAAGGCGTGCGCCACCACTGCCCGGCCTGTTTTGAGAACTTTTAAACACGTGCTTTATTTTTAATTTTTCTTTCTCTTGATCTCTTCCTGCTTTACTGTTTGAGAGTGTGTGTCTCTGTGGCCTAGGCTGCGTAAGCGCATTCTTTACCCAGGTGGCCTTGTACATGCTGGGGCTGGGTTCATGTCCTGCACACGTCCACTCGAGCGAGCGGGTCTTGCTCACTGGGGGGCGGCCCTCTGTAGGGCTGCTCACCTGTTCTCCATATTCTTACAACATGGCAGCCATTTCCTAGGGAGGAACCGTAATGACTTTGATGACCTCTCAGAAGTGTTTTGGTGGACACAGGCCAACCTTGGCTACAGGGTGGGGGGAGCACTATCCAGGGAAGGCAAGACCGGAGGCTAGGCCCACAGGGAGCCAGACTACAATCCCAGTACCTCTACAAGCGAAAGAGTCCTCATGAAACTAAAATTGACTCTTACTGATGTGGCCATGAATGTGCTCACTTTAGCTCTTGGCAATGAGAGTCAATAAGCAACTTACAGTGTCATAAATTCAGGTAATGTTAAAAATAAATAATCTTTTAACATGGTCTCATATCCAGTGCTTGTAACGAGGATGACTTTGAACTTTTGACCCTTCTATCTTCCTCTGAAGTGCTGGAATTCACAGGCCTGTAGCATTATGTGAGCACTCTACCAACTGATCTGTGTCCCTAGCCCCAAACGGAGATGTCCTCTAAAGAACAGTAATGTCCAATTGTTTTGTGACCTTATAGAAATGCCTTTGTTCACAAATATGGTAAATGATTGGCATTTGTCCCACATGAGCAGGCAAGATGGAAGTCCCCTCAAGTAATGAGCACTCAGCGTCCCATGCATTTGAGTGAAGGGGAGCCCTGTCAAGCTTCTCAGAAAGGACCCCACGTCCCTCCTCCTAGCCCCCCCTCTAGTCCCCCATGCTCCCATATTACTTATCAAATACAGTTGAACAGTAACTTTCGGGAGAGCCTCTCAGCGGACAGACAGACAGACGCCTTCACTGGATTTGTGTTTGTTGTGCAGTGAGGAAGCCGAGGCCCTGGCCAAAAGGCTGAAGTTAAGGTTCTACAGGACGTCTGTGAAGGAGGACCTGAATGTGAACGAAGGTGAGGTGCGGCGTCTTTAAAGCATATTGCAGCAGGAAAGGGGTGGGGTCTGTCTAAATGCTCTTCTGTCATGCTTAGAAACTGGATTTCAAAACAGCTTGAGAACAGAATTGTCTTCTTGTCACATTGTTCATTTTGAAGGTATTCTGTTCCAGGAGTCCTTAATTAATTATCCGCTAATAGTTGGGATTACTTGTTGCTCTTCCAGAAACTCCTGAGAGTCCTAGGAGGCTACTTTTTTTTTTCCCTGTTTTTTTTTTTTTTTTTCCCTGTCTCTTAAAATCTAAGCCATGGGGCCAGCAAGGTGGCCAGCAGGCGAAGGTGCTCACTGCCATCCCTGACAGTGTGCTCAAACCCTGGGACCCTCGGGGTGGGAGGAGAGGGAGAACCAGCTGCCCCCACACGCTCACCCCCGCCCCCCCACACACACACAAATAACTGAAAGAAACCTTCTAAAACCGCTAAGGTGCAAGTGTGAATGGAGACGTCTGTGTAGCTCTCGTGCGTAACTTTTCAAGTTACTGAATTGTTTTATTAGTCCGCCACAGGAGAGACTCCATCAGACAGCCAAAGTTCCTCACTATTTTCTAGTTTAAGAAAAAAAAGGTTAGCCGGGCAGTGGTAGTACACACTTTTATTCGGGAGGCAAAGGCAGGCAGATCTCTGAGTTTAAGGCCAGCCTGGTCTACAAAATGAATCCCAGGACAGCCAAGCGTATAGAGAAATCCTGTCTCAAAAAACTAAACAAGAAAAAGAAAGTAAGATTAAAGAAAGTTTGGAGATTTTTCTCATTCTGGAATTTTCATTTTTAGATTGCAGCTGGTTGTCACGTGGGTCTCTATTCTGTAGAGCTTTCTTCAGCCGAAGCAAGTGCATGTTTCTCTCGAGACTGAACTAGTTTAAGCAGGGCGTGGGTGGGTGCCTGTGGTCCTAACACTTAGAAAGTCGAGGTAGGAGTTCCAGGCCAGCCTGGGCTTTGTCTCAAAGACAGAAAAGGACGAGCGTAGTTATTGTTAGAAAAGGATGAGTCCAGTTATTGTTAGCTGGATCTTCATCGTGATCCAAGGTTTTCAGTGGCAGAGCCGGTGTGTACAAGTGCATTTCCATCTCTTCACTGGACACATTTTACATTTACTGGTATCATCACTGTATCGCTCAGAGAGTGCCCAAGTAATTTTTAAAAATTGTATTTTTAACTAAATTGTATACTTCTAATGTAATGTAATTTAAAATGTATGTAGTTTGTATAAATATTGCCATATGAAAGTTGACTTGCTTGCATAGTCATACTGTGTGTGTGTCTATTCTAGTTTTTAAGTATTTGGCTGAGAAACATCTACAGAAACTCAAACAACAAATAACGGAAGAACCAGAGCAGACACAGTCAAGCAGTAACAAAATCGGTGAGTGCTGGGACTCCAGCCACGCGTCTGCCGGGCACCTGCTCCAGGTCATTTATTGGGTTGTGTTTACCTTCTCCTTGTGCCGTGTGCTCATGTCTTTGAGAAATCCGAGTTCAAACTGTTGGAATGGGATTGCCTAGCTCAATAAGTAGGCACTCTCCTGTTCCAAGAGTTCTAGTACTGCTGAGTTTCCACTTCCTACAGCAGACACGTGAGAGCTTCTAGAAGAGCCGTGTCCACACAGATGGGCTGCAGGCATCATCCTGCCTTTCCCTCCCGTTTCAGGACTCGTCACTGATCTTTTCCCGTTGTGTGCTAGACACCAGCAAAAGCTCCACCGTCCCCGGAGACGACATTGTTATCTTCTTTTCACAGTAACTGACCATGGGTTTTGGCTTCCACAAAGACGCGAGCCATGCTTGGTACTCCCAGGCTTCTGTCGACACACTGTATCCACTTCTGTCCTTCCATGCACATAAATACCTCCTTCGGACCTTTCCCGGAGTCTGGCGTCTTTTCTCTTTGCCGTTTTTTATTGCTCATGTTCCTGTCATGGACACCTCATAGCCATTGAAACAAGATGGCACCTGTGCACGGTCAACCTGTCTGAGGTGTTCCCCTTGGCCCCGCTCTGTGTTCTTCCCAGGGACCAATAAATTCTCTTCCTTTTGATATATAGAAGTAGTTCTTCGTGTGTGTGTGTGTGTGTGTGTGTGTGTGTGTGTGTGTGTGTGTGTGTGTGTTGGGGAGGGGGATTCTTGCCTCCGAGTTCTGTAAGCATCCCAATTCTTGGCTCCCAAAGTGTTCTTTCCTGAGCATGCCCAGTGCTCTCTTGCCTTTGTCTAGTCTGTGGGTTGCCTCTCCCATCTAATGTCAAGGAACCATTCATTCTTCAGGGACTATGTCGAAAGCTCTCAATGATCCAGGCCTTTCCTCTAACACAGTGAAGTCTGAGGCTAGACCTCAGACCTCTTCTCTAACCCTTTGACATTTGGACTTGTCATCCGCAGAGTTCATGCTTGAGAACCATGCAGTCGAGTTACAAAAATTATTCTCATATTTTAAATACACTTAATGCTTTGTGTTGGGTTATGTTCACTGCTGTCTTTAGCCTCAGTGGCTCGCTGGACACATGGGTAGAGCACTGTCAAGTATGCCCTTTGACCTTTTGTACGTAGTTCTTCCTTCCTCTGGAACTGGGCAGTTAGGGCTTCCCTTGAACCGTGCATTGGGTCTGTTTTCTCACTGGCCTTGAACATAGTATGGCTTGCCGAGGCATGGCGAAGGGAGGATCAGGCTGAGCTACACAAAAGGACCTTGTCTCTAGAAACCCAAAACCAAGATGATGCATTGCCGTACAGCATTACTGTGTATTGTATATCACCTGTTAGACCCAGCTTCTCGTGGGCAGGGACAGGTCTTGGATTGATTCCTTGATGGTTTCTATGCCTAGAGCTTCCTGTATCTAGACGCTCAGCAATTTGTAAGTTAGCAGTTCCATTTTGTACATGGCACATTTCAAAATGGAAGTAGAATAGCTTTCTCTATCACTCACCTGTCACGTTACCTGTAGGCCACTTTGATTATGACGTTTCAGCCTCAGGATGCAGAGGTGATGGAGATGGGTGGTGGCGGTGCCGCACAGAGGTTAATAAAGCTGAGCTCTTTGCTTAAAATGTACTGTTCCGGTAAAATAAAAAAAAATGAAAACAACTGGGGGTGCTTTTTTATATAGGTAATTTTACTAACAAATAATATGTATAGTAAATAATAAAGGTGACTTTGAGGTGTATCAGTTACTCTGTTTTCCTCTGATTTTTACAGGTGTCTTTAATACGCCCGTCGGAAGTCACTTGGGTCAGAATTCAAGTACCCTCAATGGTGGAGACATCATCAATCTTAGACCTAACAAACAAAGGACCAAGAAAACCAGAAATCCTTTTAGCAGCTGTAGTATACCCTAAATTGTTTCAGGGAGGAGAGGAGCAGAATTGCATCAGCAGTTCACTGAGAACCGCCCCCGCGTCGGGTGTGGTGAGTTAGCGTCTTAGGGGACCTTGCACCTCGCTCTGAAGGCTGACATTGTAATGATGGATGCCTGCAGCGCTTGTCGGAATGTAGCTCCAGACCTCTGCTGGAGGAGGACCGCCTTGCGGACTCGTTCTAGTTTTTCCCGTTAGACGAAGCACCTCCTGTTTTTGAAGGGACACCATAGGACATGTCGAAAACAGGTCTGCTGAATTTTAAATGCTGAGAACAAAATGAAACGGCTAAATATATTGGTACCAGTTTTACCCTTACGGACCAAGGAGAGATAGCAAGCGTTCTTTTTCGGGAATGTTCATTCTGAATGCTTAAGGAGAGGACTGAAGGAAGACCTTGGACCGACCGGTCAACCTGCACCAGTGTGTGCTGTCACGGCACTTGTGCGGCGTCTGTGAGGTGTAGACTGTGGGCGTGTGCATGCGGACACCCGGCTCCAGCAAGCGGAGATCTGTGCGCCGGTGAAGGGTTTGTAGATTCTAAGTAATCCGCTCATACAACCATTTATACATTGTGTACCTTTCTGGTCTCACACGAGAACTCCGAGACATATTTTATAAAACGAATTTGAACTTAAATGTGCCATGTGCCAAAACAGCCCCCTGATTTTTACAGTGCTTTACTACTGGAATTTGTATCTGTGGCGTCTTTTAAAGGCAGTTTCCTCTCCCACCGTGAGGGGAGGGGAAGGTAAACATCTGAGTGCCAGGGCCTCTCCCCTGTGGAGTCTCCCAGGCCTCTGTAGGCATGGCGAGCTCCCGCTGTGACAAGCTTAGCCTCCTCCCCAGGTCCACAGGGCTCTGAACTTTGAAGATGGAGGGAACCATTTTTTCAGAACATACAAAGGATAGTCTTTGGTCCTGACCCAGGTTATGGATTTTCCGAAGCCTTGCAACTCTAAAGCGTTCTTGTGTTTACAAGCCTTGTATAGCGTTTTAAGATTATTGCTTAAACTTTTCTGTGGCCTTTGGTTTACATGGCACCTTATCAAGAGCGGTTAGTCCCGAAATGTCTGTGAAGAAATGACCCAGTATGTCAGTGATGGGTGCAGACCTGCAAGTCGGGACGCTAGCCTGCCAAAGAGATAATTTCATGAGTTCTCTTAAAAACTGATTTTTTTTTTTTAATCAGTGGTTATGTTTTTAAAGTTATAAACTCCTTTCCACATTACTGGTTTTCATGGGATTTCAAAATACATAAAAATGATTTTTCTTGGAAAATGTGCTATGAAGTCGTTTCTGTTATTTTTACTAAAATATATAAATGTTTGATGTATTCTCTCTCTTTTTTTTTAAAGGTTACCCCCATTGTACCACCCTTATCCTGCCCAGATTAACGTTGAGAGCATAGTAGAAATCGCTGGGTGCCCTTGTGACGTAGTCCAGACTGATGGCGTGCTTTTCACAACACCGAACCGATCGGGCATCACCCATCCCCGAGTAGTACAGGTGTTTGTTTTGTGTTAGTCAGTTGTTGGCACCCCCACTGCTGGTAGTGGAGTTAGAGTGGGGGGAACTTGGTTCCTAACCAGGGTACCTAGGTACCTGCGGGAGTCATGTCTTGTCTCTCCAAATACAGTCTCTTTAGTTTTTGCACAAAGTGTATTTGGTGGCAAATAATCTTAATTGTCATTTTTTAATTGGCAGAATTAGATTGGAAGAATCCATTATAGAACATTGCCGCTTCATTCACAGTCACTAAATGTGTGGTAAAGAAACGTGTAATACTTCTCTATAAAACAATGACCCAGTCTGATGATGGCGGCTGGTTCCTTAATATTTGTAACAGAATTTTATGTACTTTGTTTTATCCTTTTTTTTTAACGGAAGCCTTTGTTACACATTTGAATTTTTACTTTGCATTGCTATATTTTATACTTAACTATAAAAGGTCTAAAATCAGCCACAAGTCATATTAGTTTATCAGTGTGTTCAATTCTGAAACCTTCAGAGGTCATATTGTTTTCTTTTGTGACTGTGACTTTTAAGAACTCAATACGGGGGCTGGAGAGATGGCTCAGCGGTTAAGAGCACTAGCTGCTCTTTCAGAGGTCCTGAGTTCAATTCCCAGCAACCACATGGTGGCTCACAACCATCTGTAATGAGATCTGGTGCCCTCTTCTGGTCTACAAGCATACATGAAGGCAGAACACTATATACATGATAAGTAAATAAATCTTTAAAAAAAAAAAAAAAAAAATTTAAAAAAAAAAAAGAACTCAATACGGAGTTCTGGTGAAAGCCCTTTGGTGACGCTAGAGAACCCTGTCCAGGACTCCGGGCCATTGTCCATCTGCGCTCCAGTTGACTCTTTGGCATACATCGTCACCGGTTTTTAGTGTCAGGCACAGAGTTGCGGAATAATCGCCATATCTAAGCATTCCTCAGGTTTCTTCTTCCAGTGTCTGCCTGTGAATTCAGTAGTATCTAAAACAGCCCATGGAGGGCAATACAAGTAAAAGCAGGTCGACCTGTTTCTGTCCACTCGAAGTGACAGCCCACATCCTCTTCAGATGAAAGCTAACCCGACCACAGAGAGGATGTGTGACCCTTCCCTGCAGAGTGAAGTCAGAACGCAGGAGTGTGGGCCCCCACGGTGCCTGCCCCCGGGACCGGGGCCTTGTCAGAAGGTTAGGGTGGGTTGGCCATAGAACCTGATGTCTCCCCCTGAAGTGTTGTGCTCGTGTAATGTGAGGCGTTCTGGAGTGATTCTGGTACCTGCTGTGAGGCGCTCCGGGGGGCCCTTGTTACAGCAGCTCTGGCTGCCGGGGGCCACAGGGTGAAGGTTTCCTCCGCGGTACACCAACAACTTCAGGGCTTCACATATGAACCGTGAAAGGCTGTCATACAAATGAAGTTACCTGCATACAGGTAAATAAACCCCAGTCGGGTCTGAGACACCCGGGCACCAAGCTCCCAGATAACGGAACAATCTGGCCACAGGACTCTGATACTACTCCTGGTGTCTCTTGAAGTATCTATCATAGGATGTTGATAAATGGTATTTTAAAAATAAAATCTTTGGATCAAAGGAAAAACTTAACCCCTTCTCTATTTTTGTTACTAATAAATAATGCTTTTGTAAATCGGAATGGGGAACGACTTGTATGCATTCCTGCTGAGTGGTACTTACGCCTTTGGGATTAATTTAAAAATGTACTACTTGATTACAGTTTCAACAAAGATGAATTCCAGTAACCAACACAATAAAACATTTCAAAGCTAGAATGTTGTGTGCTATGTGTGGGGTGACCCACCAGTATGGAGAGGAATGCTCAAAGGTAATGCAAGGCCATCCTTGGCTACGTGACGAGTTCCAGACCAGCATGAGCTTTATGAGGCCATTTATAATAAATAAATGAATGAAAAATAAGTAGGCAGATGTGACTTCTTTAAATACCAAAATAATGTAACAGTATTTCACACTTAGCTACTGCGTACACTAATATGCGCAGTCTGGGTGCCCGTTATTTAATGGAACTTAACAGCAGTGTGCTTTAAATGGGTTTTCTCTAGAAGCTAACTTCTGTAATCTAATTATTAGTAGGGTTTTTGTTTGTTTGTTTGTTTGTTTTGTTTAGTTTTTTTGGTGGTGGTGGTGGTGTTGGGGGTGGGGGGAAGGTTTGAGACAGGGTTTCTCTGTGTAGCCTTGGCTCTATAGACCTGGCTGGCCTCAAACTCAGAGATCTGTACCTCTACCTCCCGAGTGCTGGGATTAAAAGGCATGCACCACCACCACCTGACTACTATTAGCCTTTTTTCCCCAAAAAACAGGGTTTCTCTGTGTAGTTTTAGTGCCTGTCCTGGCTCTCACTCTGTAGTCCAGGCTGGCCTCGAACTCACAGACATCCGCCTGGCTCTGCCTCCATAGTGCTGGGCTTAAAGGCGTGCACCACCACAACCCAGCTACTATTTAGTCTTTTAAAGAAAGTTCTTTCCATGTTTTGAGGCCTTTGACCCCAAACAACTTTATCCTCCCGTCTTTGGGTGTAAACTAACGATAGTTTAGTTCGTTCTGTTGGACAGCCCACTCAGCCACTCCTTGATGCTTCCTCACTCAGATAGATCATCGGTACCTTTATAGGCAGGAGGGCAGACTGATCCATGAATGATGCCACCGCCCCGCTGCGCCCTCTGCTGGTCAAAAGGTGGAGTTGCCTGCTGACCATTCTGTAGACTGGCCTTCCTGTGGCCTCCTCATTTCCTTGTGGGAGTAAACATACACCAGCTAAGCTTACACTCATGCACGCCCTATTGCCGCCTCCTCCGCATTTGCAGCCGTTTTTGCCTTATTTTGTGTCCGTACATACTTGTGCTGTTCAGCATTCACAACAGCATCATCATAGAGATGGACTTCAGACATATTACATTTGTCAGGATCAGTCATTTGAAAAGGACAAACGTTTGGTCTTCAAATCTTTGTGTGCTTTTTAGTTCATCGAGTACGCTGTTGCTTCCAGTGACTGGTAAATCCTTTCCTATTTTCCAATTTTAAAATGGAACTCGGGCTGGAGAGATGGTTCACTGGTTAAGCACACTGGCTGCTCTTGCAGAGGACCTAGCTAGGCTCAGTTCCCAGCACTCACGGAGCGGCCCACAGCTGTCTGTAAAGCCTGTTCTAGGGGACCCAGTGCTCTCCAAAGACACAGGCCTACATTCAGGCAAAACACCCAGACACAAAATAATGATCACTGACAAAGTAAAATGGAACTCTACAAGAGTGGGGTCACTTCTGTCTCTCTCTTTTTAAAAGACAGAACTCGCTGTGTAGCCTTGGCTGGCCTTGAACTCAGAAGAGGTCTGCCTGTCTCTGCATCCCACAGGCTGTGATGAAAGGCCTGGACCACCATCCCCACGAGTTGATCACTCTTGAGGGTCAAGCCTAAGCATGAGGTGTGGACAGAACTCCAGCTAAACCTGTGTCCCTGTGCACAATACTTTGGGGGGGGGGGCGCGGTTGTCTATATTTTATTATCTACTCTAGGGTAGACCCTGGATCTGCCTCACCCCCCCCCACACACACACACCATGGGGTAGCCGTTCCCTGGGGCCCCTGCCTTTGCTGCCGGAGCCTGCCGGAACTGCTGCTGCAGCTGAGCAAGGGTTTCCTCTGTGGCTCCGCCACTCGAGGATCCCGAGGCTGAGGTCTATGGCACTTGGTTCCCACTGTGCTACAGTCTGGCCTTTTCTCCCACTGCGGCCTGAGCCTCCCCTCAGCTCCTGTTGGACAAGCACCGGACCCAGAAGCTTAAAGACCACGCTGGATCCACGCGGCAAGGCCAGCTCCCTCTTCACGATATGATGATCTTCTGTTAGCTGTGCCTCCAGCCTCAGCCTCCCTGACCTGGGTTTGCTCAAGTCCCTCCCACAGCTGTTGATGTTTCTCCACGGCTCCCTGCAGCTTCTTTTGGATCAGCTCCGCCATGACACCCCTAAAGGCCTCCTGGGGGTGGGTCGCTAGGTTTCAAGCTCCCCATCTTGTCGTCGTCCCCCCCCCCCGCAGGAAGGACAGCCCTTTGAGGCCCCACAGCCTCTCCTCATCCAGACTAGCCACTCCCTAGGAAGACCCCAGATCCCCCGACCCAAGCCCTCTCACTTAAAAATTTTTAAAAACTAGTATTTTTAAAATCACTGGAGCATTCAGCTGGGGAGCCATGCTTCATGGAAAGTATTCCCCTCTCCATACTTTCAAAGCTTCACAGGAACACTTTTCAAGGAAGGGTCCATAAGTTAAATCACTCAAATGTCAGCTTTGTACTTAGTGGTTTTTAACTGGGTGGCATTTTGGCTCTGCCCTTAGTGGGATGGATCTGAGGAGATTGCTATAAACACCTCTACAGGTCTTGCAGGCTCCACACTACAGAGGCAGAGAACAGCTGCAGAGAGCAGAAGGCCTGTCCTAAAGTGGGCGTCACATGCCGTTGAGACACAGGAAAGGATGTATTTAGAAGGCCCGTACCCTGGAGACACTACAGATCAGCAACCCCAAGAGTCGTGGAGGTGGGGGACCACAGTCAAGTCTGTGAGAAGCAATCAGTGACCATCCAAAAAATTCCACTGTGAGAAATGGGAACGCGGGCCAAAGAGATGGCTCGGTAGTTAAGAGCACTTGTTGCTCTTGGAGAGGACCGGAGTTCAATTCTCAGCATTCGTTTTTTTTTTTTTCAGGCAACTCACAGCGTCTTCTAACTCCAGCTCCAGGGCGTGTATCTCACACCCTCCTCTGGCTCTGTGGGTGTGAGTGCATGCACAGATACACACAAATAAAACCTATCAAGAAGGAGGAGGAGGGCGAGAGAGATGGCTCAGGGGTTAAGAGAGCACTGCGCTGCTCTCTCAGAGGGCCGGAGTTCAAGTCCCAGCAACCACACAGTGGCTCCCAACCATCTGTAATGAGGTCTGGTGCCCCCTTCTGGCATGCAGGCGTATATGCAGGCAGAACACTGTATACGTAATAAAAATGTTTTAAAAAGGAGAAGGAAATAATGCAAAGAATACAAATGTCAAGGAGATAGCCAGAATTCATGACAGAAATTCTGGACAGATACAGAGTGAGTGAACTGGGGGAGGTGGGCATATCTTCCCAGGGTAGAAAGGAATCAAAGAGGCTGACATTTGAAGAAGCTGGCCAAGGCCAGGCCACGGTGGCACACACCTTTTACCCCAGCACTTTGGAGGCAGAGGCAGGCAGCTCTCTTGAGTTCGAGGCCAGCCTGGGCTACAGAGCGAGATCCAGGACAGCCAGGGCTACACAGGGAAACCCTGTCTCAAACAAACAAACAAACAAAAGCTGTCAAAGAGGCAGGTGACAGGAAACACCACCGTGGCGAGCCTGGGTGGCAGGCATCAGTCTGCAGACAGACGCTGGGCCGCGGGTGGGGCTCTTCCACAGAGACTGACTTAGCATGGCGGCCCAGCAGGCTCAGCTCAGCAGGGTCTGTGCTGAGAGAACGATCCACGTAGATCTTGGTTTTTCCGTGTGAAAGACATCTGACCCTAATAAAACTTGTGTTTCAAATGACGCGCGGCGGAGGAGTTGCTGAGGGGTTGGTGCCTCACCGGCGACATGTGTGCCGTCACTGCTTTGTGAGTCACAGAAAGGGCCGGGCTGCTCAGCCTCCTCAGCAAACAAGGGGCTGATAAGTCAGGGCTCTGTGTCTGAGGGTCAAAGCGCAATGCCCAGTGCTAGAGAGTTTGGTGACTTGGATTCTTTTAATTACCGAAGGCAGTACAAATTGAAAAAAACTTATAAAAATTTAGAAATCTGGTTTTCGGCCATGACAATGCATATATATCTTTTGGCCCGATGAACTCATTGATGGAATTTTATACAAAGAAGACCAAGAACAGCACAAAGCTCTAAGGACATGAACGTGTCGTAGTCATAGCAACAAGGTGAAACCACCCACATGTTCTCGGAGAAGTGACTGGGTCAGTACCCTGTGCCCCCACGGCACGCGTGGTGACTCCAGGGCAGCCCATGAGGAAACCCATCAGCATTGAGAGAGAGGCTGTAGCAGTCTGGTGGATACAGACCTTCACCGTGGTACAGTGAAGGCCTTTCCCTCACATTTTATGTCACACTTCCGCACACACACATAAAAAATACATGTTATGAGATGCATAAAACAGATGGCCCCAAAATGGAGAACATGCAGGGTGAGGTTCTGATGTGTTTCCTTTTATCCTTC